TACTACTACTACTACTACTACTACTACTACTACTACTACTACTACTACTACTACTACTAGTACAACTACGTCTACTATCACGATTACCACGGCAACGGCTATTATTACTACTACTGCTACTACTACACCCCCATTACTACTACTACTACTACTACTACTACTACTACTACTAGTACTAGTACTACTACTACTACTACTACTGCTACTGCCAGTTCTACTCTTACTTCGAGTTCCACTTCAACTTCTCTTTATATTCGTACCTCTACTACTTCTACCACTACTACCGCTACTATTCTTCTTATGCTGGTGCTGGCACAACTAATAGCATTACTACTACTCCTGCTGCTACTACTAGTAGTAGTAGTAGTACTACTACTACTACTGCTACTACTTTCTTTACATCTACTACTACAACTACTAATGCGAATACCAATCCTAGTCCTAGTACTTGCAGTATTAGGACTAGTCATACTACTACTACTACTACTACTCCTACTCCTCCTGCTACCACTACAATAACGGCTACTACTACTACTACTACTACTACTACTACTTCTACCACTACTGCTTCTACTACGGCTACGACTACGATCGCGACTATGAGTTCTACTACTACTACTACTACTACAACAACAACTACTACTACTACTTGTGCTACTACTACTACTACAACAACTACTACTACTATACTTAGTACGACTACTAATACCGGTGCCAGTACCAGTACTAGTACTAGTACTAATACAAGTGCTAATGCCAGCAGTAGTACTTCTACTACTACTACTACTACTACTACTACTACTACCCCTACGACGACGACTACTACCACCTATTACTACACATACTACTACTACTACTACTACTAGTACTACTACTACTACAACTACTACTACGACGACGACTACTACTACTACTACTACTACTACTACCTATTACTACACATACTACTACTACTACCACCACGACCACCACTACTACTACTACTACTACTACTACTACTACTACTACTACTATTACTACTACTACTACTACTACTACTGCTACCACTACTACTACTACTACTACTACTACTACTACTACTATTATTGCTACTACTACTACTACTACGACTACTACTACTACTACTACTACTACTACTACTACTACCACTACTACGACAACTAGTACATCTGTCCCTACTTCTATTACTACTGTTACTACTACTGCTGCGGCTGCTACTACTACTACTACTACTACTACTACTACTACTACTACTACTGCTAAGTATTCGTCCTCGCGCAAGAGCTTGGGTCACTTACCGTCGAGTTTCCTTTAAATCTGAATGACCATTTGTGAGGATTGCACTTTGTTTTTCCAACGTCTGCAGGGGCGACCCCATTCGAAAAATTTGCGACAAATGCGGCGGCGAACTGAACTACTTCCCGACGCCGCCGCGGAGTGGCCTTCTTCGGGGGGGAATGGCCCCGTTCACCGGTAAGTGCCCCTGAAGCCCCTTCCACCCCCTGGTCACGTCACGATTCGCGCTGGCGCCGTCGGGGAATCAACCGTTCTAAATCATTGGCAAAAGGCGCTGGTGCGAATCATGACGTGACCGGCTCCCCCTCCCCCCTCGTGCCCCGGTCACGCCCGTGACCCTGAGATCCGACGTTGCGAAGAAATTGCAGCATCATGAAAAATCACGACCCGCGCCCTGGACCCCATCTTTCTTGGCAATTTTCCGAGCTGGATCGATCTGCGAGGGTCCCACAGGGTTAGGTCGGGCATGTCTTCCTGCAAGGGGGTTTTTGAACGGAAAATGAAAAGAGGTCAAAAAATATACAGACATTGTGAAACAAGTCAGAAGATCGTCCCCAGACGCTTTTTTTGGGGCCAATTTTTTGATTTTCCTTCTGTAGAGGGACAGGCCCGACCGAATCCCTGGGCCCGAAACTGGGCGAAGAAACGCCCGGCGCGAAACGTCCCGGCGCCAGGACCTCCGGGGACCGCCGGGGGAGCCAGCCAGAGCTCTCTCTGACGATGCTGGGCCGCCTCGCCTCGCCCACGCCGAGCGGCGCGCCCTCGCCGGGGGGCCGCGCGGGCGAGGGGCGGTCCATGGCGGGCCGGGGCGCCTCCGGCCGCACGGGGCGCCGGCCGCAGGGGCACTCGGTGCGCGGGGGGCGAGCTGGGGCGCGGAGCGGATGGAGGCGTGGTCGCGTCGCAGCAAGAAATGGAGGGGCCCCAGGACACACAGATAAGTACACACAAGTAAAGGGATGCCCCATAGTTTCCCATCTTTGCTGGGTTTCTGTCTTCCCCCCCACTTCCCATACTTTCCCATAGTTTGTGGGAATCGACGATTAATTGTGTCTGTGTGTTTCTTCCCCGCCTGAAAGAAGCAAGACGGGAGGTTTTTGGCCAATGTCGGCCTCGGGGGGGCCTCGCCGGGTCTCGGGGCCGTCAACAAAAAGACCCAGGGCGCAAAGCCGGTCCTGGGGAAAGGGTCGGGACTTCCGGGGACGGCGTCCTGGGGAAATCAGGACGTCGCATGTCTGGGGAGGCGCCGCCAGGGGGGTGCTGCCCAGGAGCTGCCTGCGAGCCGAGGAAGCGCTGCCTGGGAGCTGCGCAGGAGCCGAGGAAGCGGGGGTGCTGGGGAAAGAGGTTGGCCACCAGGCTCGTCTTTTTGTTCGCTGGGGATGTTCTGGGTGTCTCTTTGAGTCGCTGGGGCCAAGCTGGGCGGGGAGAAGGGGGGCTCGAAGCTCCTGACGTCCTCGCGTCGTGAAGAAATCACGACGGATAGGCTTTCGCTATTTTCGGCCTCCAGGGGCCCTCACTGGAGAAGGAACAGAACGAGGTGGATAGGGAGGAGCAGCATTGGACAAGCGCCCATCGCTTTCCTGACGCATTCAAGTGCGAACGTGTGCGAATATACAGTTGCGCCAAAACATACGCCCAAGGCGATGGCGAAGAAACTTCCGAAGGACAGCACTCAGCCGCGGAAGCGCTGCTCTCCTCCAGGAAAGCGCTCACAGGCTGGTACTCCGCTCCAGGATGAGACCAGGGCACGGACCCCAGACATCTGGAGACCAGGGGCACAGGCCGACCAGTGGGAGAGGGCAGAGGAGGCAGGAGGGAGGGAATAGAGGGATGGAGGGAGCAGGGCGGTCGACGACGACAGGAGAGGGGAGGGATGAAGGAGGGATGGAGGAAGGAGCATGGCGGCGGCGACGACGACCGGAGCAGGAGGAGAGGGATGGAGGAGGGAGCAGGGAGGGAGGGAGGCATGGAGGAGGGAGCAGGAGAGGGGAGGAGGGCGAGCCCTCGCCCTTGCCCTCACGCCTCCCCGCCTCTGCCCCTTGCGGCACCCGTGCGCACCGAAGCAGCCCAAGCTCGGGCTGGCCTCGCGCCTCGCACCGAGACTCGGCGGCGGCCGTGGCGCGGGGCACCCGGCCCCTGCCCCATCGACGACACCAGTCGCCGGTCGGGCACCGCGGCGGGCAGACCGCCCCCCCCCGGCACGTGGCCGACTCCCGCAGCCCGGGATCCGAAAGCGCTGGCGCCTCCCCTTGCCTGCCGCGCATCCCTCCGCCAACGAACCCGCCGCCGCTCTACTGGCCATCGCTCGGACGTCCATTCCCCGTGCTTTTTTGGGTCTCGTGCGTGGTTTTTTCGCCAAATGATCAAGGATGCCCCTCGATGGTCCTCGCCGAGAAAAAGATGCACACGTCCGAGCGATGCCAGGTCTATACACCTCCCCCCCAGCTTGCGCCGGCCTTCCGCTGGCTTCCGCTGGAGGCGAGGCTGCGCCGAAGGCGAGGCCTGTGCTGGAGCGCGCCGAACGTCGTCAAGGACGTTTAGGGGACTCCTACGCGAGGCAGCGGCAGCTGGGCGAGCTGGCCCCAGCGCTGTTCGCGAAGCGCTCCCAGCTCGGACTGGCGCTCTCGCTTCTCCGGCCTTCCCCCCAGGGGCGAAACGGTGGCACGTCTCGCTTGTGATCTGGTGGGCCTAGCCTTGGGGCCGACCACTTGCCCAGCTCGGATAGGTACCCTCGTATACCCTCGACACAGCACTGGCCACGCTATCAGCTCGCGATGGTGCTCGCACTGAAGCGCCGGGCGCGTTCCTTGGCCCAATTCCTAGTGAGCACATGGTGAGTCGCTCGCTCCTCGCTGAGTTGACTTCGCCTTCGCGATAGCGATTTCCCCAGCACAGGATGGTGCGGCCGCGAAAACCCTGCTAACATTGTAAACTCGGAATCAAGCTCTCTCCCGAGTGCGGGTGACGATCCCAGCTTTAGGTCGGGGGTGTCCCCCTACAGGCGGATTTTGGACGAAACATATTAATACGCAACAAAAACTCATCAACAATTGTCAAGCATAGGCAAAAAACAATATTTTTTTATACTATTTTTGAATGTGCCTCCTCTAGGGGACAGGTCCGACTTGAAGCTTGGAATGGTGCCCTCGCTTCAACTCTGGCCACTCCCTGATGGGCCGCTTGGTGGGTGAGCCTGCTCGACGCCCGGCTGCTTTCGCCCGAGCGCTGGCCGCGCTCGCAGCTCGGAGAGTTCTCCACAGCTCCAGGCGCTTTTCCAGCCTCCAGGTGGGGGGAGGGGAGGGAGAGAAGGGGAAGAAGTGGAGGGGAAACACAAAATGGTCTTGGGGCCTGGGTTGCGTACGTGACCCGTGGAAGTCTGCTTCTGCTTCTGCTGGGTCACCGGATCATGGCTCCCAATGTCCGTGCTGAGACAGTAACTGCGCGCGCGAGATGGCGAGAGAGAGAGAGAGAGAGAGTAAGTGAGAGAGGGAAAGAGAGAGCGATACAGAGATAGACATGTGTCGTTTGCCATCATAGGTGAGGTGTATGTGCACGTGTGCGCGTGCGCGTCTCAACGTAAGCATGTACTACCTGGCTTGGCTTCCATGAGATGTTACGCCCCTGCAGGCCGCGCACGCCATCGAAGATTGCACACTGCGTGGCACCCGACCATCGAATTGGTAGGGCTACGTTGACTGCGTACCCCCCGCCCACTGTCCATACCCTTTGTCGTGAACGGTCGCAGTGACAATGACAATGAAAAATACAGAAGCCACACGCGGCCCGCGACAACTCAGGTGGTGGGGTCGGGCATCTGGTAGGGAAGAGGCAGACCTGCCACCACGAGGTTTGCAGACAATTCCGTCGACGTAGATTCATCACGTACACTCGCCTGCGTGCAACAACGCCTGCCGTCGCTACCCATAGAAAGCCTCGACACTGAGTCCATGGGGAGCATCTGCTGACACTTTGTGTTACACTGTTCTAACTGAAACTCCCGAGATGCGGGCAACCATAGAAATGGTACATATGTGGCATGGGAGACATCATACCCAGATGCCGTGACGGGGGTCGGATGCATCAGCCCACTCAGGCGGGAAGACACCATCTGTCCTGAGCACCCACATGAGTGTGTCGTCAGAACAATACATTGACGAAGTAACTTTATCTGGGTCTGCCACCTGGCCATCGACCAACATCTCAAACCCGTCAAGGTTGAACCCACGCTCTGGCTGCACGTCGAACTTTTCGCACAACGCTGGGTATCTCGCCGCCCAATCTTCGGCGTCCCCACTAAAATTGCAACAAACCTTAGCAAAGACCTGCAATTCGTCCTCGTTCAATCTTGCATCGCAATCGGAATCGAATCTCTTAAATACCAAACAGATCAAGTCTTTGCGCGCAGGATCCCCCATCACTTGAAGCTGCGGCGACTCGTCCCCGACATCTGGCGCTGATTTTCCACGCGCCTGAACACAGAAACAAATCATGACGGCGCACAGGATGATTGTGGCGAGGCTGGCCACGACGCCCACTACCAGCTGCGTCGTAGTAAGGAGTGTCTGCGCCTTAGTGGAGATCCAAGAAAAATGCGGTCCGCAAGCAGTGGTGGGGGTGGGGTGGGGGAAAGGTGACCGGGGATAGCAGAAGGGTGAGGGAGGGGTGGTCAGGCTTCACGAATGGCACTCGTAGATGCCGAGGTGGGAGTGGGGAGAACCAACCTGTGGTTCCTGGCATTCTGCCTTTTGCTTCCACTTCTGAGCCCCCATTCGCTATTGGCCTGTGCAGTCTGCATCTCTGGCGGAATCTTGATGACCAAAGACCCAGACGGATACGCACTGACCAGCTCGGGCTGGACTTCAAGCGTGCCTTCGCTGACAGAGACGATCGTCACCTGCTGCTCAGGCCCTTCACCGTTCTCGGTGTTGAGGGCAATCACATCTCCCTTCTTGAGAGTCGTCCGCCCCATAGGCACAGTGCTCGATCCTGCTGCGACGTCTGCAACCTCGGGGACGCGCAAACATGGATGAGCGATCCATGGATTCGGCGTGCGGTCGCCAAATCCACGGATCGGGGGAGGTGCCTTCCCCAAAACGCAGCCCGTGCCGCCTTATTCGGCGGCGGGAATCCGCGATCTCCCATGGGAACGGGACCCGTCCCTAGCCCACGCCCCCTTGATCCATGTTTGCGATCGCCTGACAACCGTGTACTGTAAGTCTCCATCCTGCGCGCCCTCGCTGACAGAGATGACCGCCACCTCCCCTGTGGAGATGTGGCCGATACTCGGCATGTGGCCCAAGGCATCTGCCAGCAGCAACGTCAGCCTCTCCCTCTGCGCATCGCTCCCCACGAAGCTGGCCACGTCGTCGCCCGTCTTGTCACGAGGCGCCGCCAGAGTCACCTGGAGGTTTTTACATAGACACCCCTGCTGGCAATCCAGCACGACACGACGGTGAAGCTGCTGTGATACGCAGCGAGCACGAGTGAGACGATTGGCAAATACCCGCGAGGCAACATCGGACTTTAGCACAAACTCTACGGTCTCCCCCGGGGCCGTAGGCGACCCGAGGAGGAGGAGGAGGAGGAGGAGGAGGAGGAGGAGAAGGAGGAGGGAGGAGGAGGAGGAGGAGGGAGGAGGAGGAGGAGAGGAGGAGGAGGAGGAGGAGGAGGAGGAGGAGGAGGAGGAGGAGGAGGAGGAGGAGGAGGAGGAGGAGGAGGAGGAGGAGGAGGAGGGAGAGGAGGACGGGTCGCCTAAGCCCTTCGGAGAAGCCCTCCAGCACAAACATGGGCGTTGCGAATTCCCTGCGAACTCTTGGGAACCGTGCCCCCCCCGGACCTCGACGTGCCGGCCGGGGGCAAACGCGAGCCGATGGCACGCAGAAGGCAAGCTGGCGGCCTGATGATTGAGCAGGAACCGACCGTCCTGGCATTCGATAGGCCTACCACGAAATCTTTTTTGTTGTCTTTTTTGAGGATGGCGCGCGCATTGACGAGAACGTACGCAGCACCAACAGCCGCACTAATTCATCATGGAAAGCCAGGATGCATCTCGTAAGTTTGTAAGCCTCAAGACCGTTGCCGTCGGCCTTCACAGACAATAGGCCTACCACGAAATCTTCTTAGAACCCAGACATGTTCTAAAAACGAAGGCAAGGTTCTTCTAACGTGGGCCCGACGTGTTAGAACAAGACAGTCTCGGCCAGAACTCTTTTTAGAACACTTCGTGAAGACCACGAAACGTTTGTTAACACATTTTTTGGTAGGCCTATAGGCAAGCCAGGACGCTTCGCCACTGCTTGAGATGCAAGCGAGAGCTGAATCCCGAAACAACATGTCGGTCCCAAAACAACCTTTTTTTACACGTACGGGTCGCTATACAATGCATGCGCGCAAGAGAATGACGTCATCCTCTTTGGACGCCCGAAATGGGTACGGGAAAAATGGGTACAATGCCCAACAACAAACGTTGTCCCAAACCAGCAGCGGCCGCTGTTGGGCAGGCGGCCTTCTGTCTCGAGTGGACCCAGGCCGCGGCGGCGTGGACAGCGAGTCCTGCTCAAGATGAACAGGAACTGCTGTTGGGCATTGTACCCATTCTTTCTGTACCCATCTCGTTCGTGCCGATCATCCAGGCCCAATCTCCGTGTTCTGCTTCCCGCCCCTCGTCCTCTCCGTGTGCTGCGCCCACGAGAGGGGGCCACGGTACCTGCCGCTTCGCTGCGGGCTCGCCGCTGCGACGGCTCATCCGGCATGCAGAGTACGAGCGCGTACCCGCGTGTGGCAAAGACTGTACACGTCGTTCTTTTCTAATCGTGCTCATTTCTAGTTGTGCTGGTTTCTAATTGTTCCTGGCCCCCTAGTGGCCAGGAAGAGGCCCAGGAGAGAACAAGTGGAAACGACAGGATCTTGGCCCCAAAAGATCGAGGAACTTCCGAATACTTAGACATGAACCATATGTTTTCATCAGACCTCATAGCGTTGTCATTGGATTGCTAGTGAACCTTTACCAACTCCCAGGACTTCTGAGGGCTCGATTGGAGCTCGAGACGGCTCGTCTAGAGCTCTACAAGAGCTTTTGCGGCCCCTAGAGTGGGTACTGCGACTGACCGGAGGTGAGCTCTACGGGGGACCCATAGGACAGAGACAACGATAGACTAGACGGCGAGTCCATTCTTTTTGAGCTCCCCTCGAATAGCAATTTCGGGTTAGTTCCATGACTTCCGCCAACCTCCATGAGCCCCCGTGCCCGTCTCTGCACCAGCAGCTGTGCGCGTCCCTCGACCGCGGACGCAATCAGTAGAGAAAGCAATGCCCAGCAGAACCTGCCTGGGGAAAACACGCAACAGCATATGACACGCAGCCCCCTCCTCCACCCTCCTGCTCCTCCTCTTCCTCCATCCTCCTATTGCTGCTGCTGCTGCTGCTGCTCCTCCTCCTCCTCCTCCTCCTCCTCCTCCCTGTCGCCCTTCAAGAAGGGCATCATTGCTTACTGTGCCAGGCGCCCCTCGTCCCGAATTTCAGGTCACTGGCAGTTCTGGGCCCAGAGCTCGAATGCCTTTGAATAGCAGACTGCTTCTGTGCTCCGGAGCGTTCGCGCCACTGCTACGGATGTCGAGGACCCAAGACAGCTGAATAACCCATGCAGTGGGCGACCCAGAACATTGAGACACAGATGAGTTAGGAATCGCTAAGAGCCCAGAACTATTGAACGTGACAGTTCAGCTGGAGGGCGAAACTGGTTGACGAACCCAAGGCACCCGACCAACTCTCGATACCAAACGCAATCACCGACAGCTATGTTTGGTGGCGCGGGGGCCTGAATGATGAATTTCCAATTTGGGATGCCCCCGCGACTCGAAACACACAGTTTGGGAGATGCCTCGCGGCTGCGTGCACCCCCAGCCCCCCCGTGTCCCTTGGGGCTCTCATATTCAAAGTCATTAGCTGTTTTCAAACCTGTTATTTGTTGGGTTGATTCGACTTGACCGAAGCAAGACGAATCTCAGAATCATCATCACCTGCACCACGGTAGCGTCCGCATCACTTTGATGAGCCATGATCTCAGAATCCACTTGGCAATACGGCAATGCGCCCTTAAACATTTTAGACACACTGTCTTCCACTGCATTCTTTGCAAGAGCATCTGCTGAAAGGTTGTCGTACGGAAGGTTCGATAGCACAACATCCACATTGATGATGCCCCCCTCTGTAAGGCCTTAGTGCAAGCTGCAGGCCGATCGCGCTGAGCAGCACACCTTCCAGACGTGATAAAAGTTGTCACGATTACTCTATACAGTACTAATATGACAGAACTTTCCTGGGTAAGAAGGGGATGCAAGCCATGCTCGGGTCGGACTGGGGTGTGGTGCGGTAACAATGACGTGGTGCTGTGGGCACCCGTGCGTCGTCGGTCGCTGCTTTAAGCCCACCCGTGACAAGGAAGGGAGCAGGAGAGGCGGACGAGGCCGGACGCCCCCGAAGTCCCACGATCCCCCCCTACTGTGACGGCATTTCGTAAAGCGTCTTTTTGCCTCAACATCTTCGGGGGGGTTGCTACACCTTCAGGCATATAAAAAAACGCCCTCAAACCGTGGAGAATAACAGAGAATATCCGAATGGAGCCGGGATCCTTTGAAAGCATCCTCCTCCCCTCCTCCCCTCCTCTCTCTTTCCTCCCCTCATCCTCCTCTCCTCCTCGTCTTTTTCTCCTCCTCCTCCTACCCCTCCTTCTTTTCCTCCTGTTTCTCCTCCTCTTCTGCTCCTCCCATGCATTCTTTCTCCTCCTCCTGCTCATCATCATCGGGGTTCTTTGCGGTTCCCACTGAGCAATATTATCACTGATGCCCCGCCCCGTCCCAACCTCCTCGTCCTCCGCCTCCTCCCCGTCTCATCATCTTTCTGCAAGTCCTCCTCCTGCTCCTCCTTCTCCTGCTCCTCCTCCTCCTCCTCCTCTTCTTCCTCCAATTCCTCCTCCTTTTCCTCCTCCTCCTCGTCCTCCTCCATTCCACCTCTATGCCACCTCTATTCCACTTCTATCCCAACTCTATTCCACCTGTCATTCTCTTCTCTCTAGCTTCCTTGCTTCTCCCTCGCTTCCTTCCTTCCTTGCTTCCGTCCTTCATTCATTCATTCTCTCTCTCTCTCTCTCTCGCTCCCTCTTGCCTCCCTTCCTCCCTGCCTCTCCCCTCCTCCTCCTCCTCCTCCTTCTCCTCCTCCTCCTCCTCCTCCCTCCTCCTCCTCCTCCCTCCCTCCCTTCCCTCCCCTTCCTCCATCCCACCCTCCCTCCCTCCCTACCTACCTCCCTTCCTCCCTTTTCCTTCCCCCCTCCTCCCTCCTTCTTCCTCCCGCACCAGGCGCATGTTGGGTCTCCCCCTTCGCGCCCATATTTTTAGTGTGACAGATTCGGTGGGCTCAGTTGGCTCCCCCCCTGGGGCCGTGGACATGTGAAAGTACGTGTCCCGCGCATACGCGCCAGTCGCACGTCGAGTCCCCTTCTCCCTCCGCGCACGTTTTTTTTTTTTTTTTTTTTTTTTTTTTTTTTTTTTTTTTTTTTTTTTTTTTTTTTTTTTTTTTTTTTTTTTTTTTTTTTTTTTTTGTTTTGTTGTTTTCTTTCTCCTTATATATATTATGATATACACATATATGTATATATATGTATATATATATATAGTTGTTTTTTTCTTTTTTTCCTCTCTTTCTCTCTCTTTCTCTCTCTCTCTCTCTTTCCTCCTTTACGCTCAAAGAATTGCGGCGGGCTAAATTGGATCCTTCGGTGGGGGCCGTGGTCACGTGAAAATGCACCCCTCGCGCGCACGCGCCAGGCGCATGTTGAGTCCCCCCCCTCCGCGCACGTATTTTTACATGTGAAAAATCCGGCGGGCTAAGTTGGGTCCTTCGCTGGGCGCCGTGGACACGTGAAAATACGTGCCCCGCGCGCACACGCCTGGCGCATGTTGGGTCCTCCCCTCCGCCAACGTATTCGTACACGTAAGTAATCCGGCGCGCCCAAGTTGGGTTCCTCGCTGGGGGCCGTGGACACGTGAAAATAGTGCCCCGCACGCGCCAGGCGCATGTTGAGTCCCCCCCCTCCGCGCACGTATGTTAACGTGGAAACGTTGCGGCGGGCTTAGTTGGATCCTTCGCTGGGGGCCGTGGACACCTGCAAACACGTGCCCCGCGCGCAAGCGCCTGGCGCATGTTGGGCCCCCCCCTCCGCACACATGTTTGTACGTGTAAATAAGCCGGCGCCTCCAAGTTGTGTTCCTCGCTGGGGGCCGTGGACACGTGAAAATAGTGCCCCGCACGCACGCGCCAGGCGCATGTTGAGTCCCCCCCATCCGCGCACGTATGTTTACGTGTGAAGAATGCGGCGGGCTAGGTTGGGTCCCTCGCTGCGGGCCGTGGTCATGTGAAAATGCATGCCTCGCGCGCACACGCCAGGCGCATGTTGGGTCCCCCCCTCCGCGCACGTATTTTGCACGCGCGAAATCTCCGACGCGTCCAAATTGTGTCCCCCCCTGGGGGTCGTGGACACGTGAAAACACGTGCCTCGCGCGCAAGCGCCAGGCGCATGTTGGACCCCCCCCTCCGCGCACGTGCTTCCCAACCATCCTGTGGTGTTGGGGTCTCGTTTTGAAGAGACACCGCCCCGCGTCCATCCTTCCCTCCCTCCCGCCTCCTCCTCCCGCTCCTCCCTCGTGCCATCCCGAATCCCTGCCTCCGCACTCCGCATGTCATCATCATCATCATCATCATCATCATCATCATCATCATCATCATCATCAGCACCATCGTCAGCATCAGCATCGTCATCAGCATCATCATCATCATCATCATCACCATCATCATCATCATCATCATCATCTCACTCCTCATCATCTTCCTCCTCCTCGTCGTCGTCGTCATCATAGCCACCACCATCACCACCACCACCACCACCACCATCACCATCACCATCACCATCACCATCACCATCACCATCACCATCACCATCACCATTCACATCACCATGACCATGACCATGACCATGACCATCACTATCACCATCACCACCAACATGATATCATCAGCATCATCATTATAATCATCAGCATCATCATTACCATCATCGTCTTCGTCGTCATCGTCACTATCATCTCCATCATCTTCATCATCAGCATCATCGTTATCACCACCACCACCACCATCATCATCGTCATCACCACCACCACCAACGAAATCATCAGCACCATCACCATTACCATCATCACCATCATCATCACCATCAGCATCACCACCATCATCATCATCCTCAGACGGCCCGACTGGCTGCGTCGCATGGCACCATCGCGCCCATTTCGGCACATCCCTCGCACGTTTCGTGCCCCCTCGGGAGCTCCACCGAAGGCTCCAATGGCACCGTCCGCATGTGTCTCCCCCACCCACTACAACGTTTCGTGGCCCCGTACAGAGCTCCACCGAAGGCCCCAATGGTAAGGTTCGTAGGCGTCTTCCGCACGCAATGCAACGCTTCGTGGCCACAGAAGGACCTCCTCCAAAAGCCCCCAACGGCACCGTCCGCATGCGTCTCCCACACCCAATACAACGCTTCGTGGCCCCATATGGGGGCTTCGCCGAATGCCTCAGCAACACCGTCCGCATGCGCCCCCCATGCAACGTTTCGTGGCCCCGTGAGGGGGCTCAACCGAAGGCCCCAGTGGCACCGTCTGCATGCGTCTCCCCCGCCCAGTTCAACGTTTCGTGGCCTCATAAGAAAGTCAATCGAAGGCCCCCGTGGCACAGTCCGCATGCGTCTCCCCCACGCCAGTACAACGCTTCATGGCACCATAAGGAGCTCCACCGAAGGCCCCAGTGACATCGTCCGCATGCGTCTCCCCCGCCCAATACAACGTTTCGAAGCCCAATATGGGAGCGCCCCCGAAAGCCACAGTGGCACCCTCCGCATACGTCTCCCCTGCCCAGTACAATGTTTCGTGACCCATGGGGGTTCCACCCAAGGTCCCAATAGCAAAGTTCGCATGCGTCTCTCCCACCCAGTACAATGTTTCTTGGCCCCGTCGGGAGCTCCACCGAAGGCCCCAGCGGCACCGTTCGCATGCGCCTCTCCCCCCCACGCAGCGTTTCGTGGCGCCATAAGGAGCTCCACCGAAGGCCCCAATGGCACCGTCCGCATGCGTCTCTCCCGCCCATTACAGCGTTTCGTGGCCTCAGGGAGGGCCCCACCGAAGCTCTCAATCGCATCGTTCGCATGCGTTTCCCCGCAACATGCAATACTTCGTGGCCCCCTAGGGAGCTCCAGCGAAGGCCCCAATGGCACCGTCTGCATGGATCTCTCCTGCACAGCACCGCGTTTCGTGGCCCACTGTTGCAGGTAGCATGCATCTCCCCCACCCAGCTCAACGTTTCGTGGCCCATAGGGAGCTCCACCGAAGGCCCCAGTGGGAAAGTTCGCCTGCGTCTCCCCCACCCAGTGCGGCGCTTCGTGGCCCATAGGGGGCTCCACCGAAGGTACCATTAGCAACATTCGCCTGCGTCTCCCCACCCAACCATCGAGAGCTCCACCGAAGGTCCCAGTAGCACCGTCCGCATGTGTCTCGCCCACCTAGGACAGCGCTTCGTGGCTCACAGGGAGCTCCATCGAAGGCCCCAGTGGCCAAATTCGAATGCGTCTCCCTGACATAATACAGCGTTTCGTGGCCCACAGGGACCTCCACCGAAGATGATATCTACAACTACGGTACTCACAACTGCACATGATTGGGCCCTTCGCCATGCTAATGGCATCGGGGTGGTGGACACATGAAAGTACGTGCGTTGCGCGCACGCGCCAGGCGCATGTTGGGTTCCCCCCCTCTGCGCCCATATCTTTGCTTGAATAATCCAGCGGGATAACAAGGTTCCCTCGCGAGGAGGAGGAACAGGGGGATGAGGAGGAGGAGAAGGAGGAGGAGGAGGAGGAGGAGGAGGAGGAGGAGGAGGAGGAGGAGGAGGAGGATGAGGATGAGGAGGAGGAGGAGGCCGTGGACACGCGGGAATCTGTGGCCCGTGCGCACGCGCCAGGCGCATGTTGGGTACCCCCCTCCGCGCTGGTATTTTATGTGTGCAGAATCCAGCGGGCTAAATCGGGCTGTTCGCTCGGGGCCGCGGACACGTGATAATATGTGCCACGCGCGCACGCGCCAGGCGCATGTTGAGTCTCCCCCATCCGCGCACATATTTCACGTGCAAAGAAATGCGGCGGGCTAAGTTGGATCCCTCGTTTGGGGCCGTGGACACGTGGAAATACGTGCCCCGTGTGCACGCGCCAGGCGCATGTTTGCCCCCCCCCCCCCCCCTCCCCCCCCTGCGCGCGCGTATTCTTACGTGGGAAGAGTCGGGCGGGCTAAGTTGGGCCTCTCGCTGCGGGCCGTGGACATGTGAAGACGAATACCCCGTGCGCACGCGCCAGGCGCATGGTAGGTCTCCCCCTCCGCGCACGTACTTCCACGTGGAAAGAATCCGGCAGGCTAAATTTTGTCCCTCGCTGGGGGCCGTGGACACGCGAAAAGAAGTGCCCCGCGCGCACGCCCCAGGCTCGTGTGGGGTCACCCCATCCGCGCACGTACTGTTACATGGCAAGAAGTCTGGCGGGCGAAGCTGGGTCCCTCGCTGGGGGCCCCGTCGTGGCCAGCAAAAAACACGTGCCGCACGCACGCGTGCCGAGACCCATGTTGGAGACCGCCCCCTCTGAAATTTGTTCCTACGCGTCCAATAACGACGCCTGGTGCTCGACACCCTTCTGGTGGAGGGCCTTTGCCCCGAAAGCTGAAAGAGAACCCTGGGCCGCAGCCCTTACCGGGAACACTTCTCGTCCTGATTTTGTCTCACGACGCGAGCATGTCCGGGTCGCCACCTCCGATCCGCGCCTCCCGCGGCTGGCCCCGCCTCGAGGGGCCCGCCGGCCAGCCCGCTCCCCCCGCTGGCTGACCCGCACCCCCCGCCGGTCGACACGCGCCCCCATCCCCCCGGCTGGAGGCCCCTGTGGGGAGGGACGCCCTCCAAGGCTGGACCGCCAGGCGCGGCCCGTCATCATCATCATCATCATCATCATCATCATCATCATCATCATCATCATCATCATCATCATCATCATCATCATCCTCATCCTCATCCTCATCCTCATCCTCATCCTCATCCTCATCCTCATCCTCATCCTCATCCTCATCCTCATCCTCATCCTCATCCTCATCCTCATCCTCATCCTCATCCTCATCCTCATCCTCATCCTCATCAACATCAACATCATCACCATCATCATCATCCTTATCCCCATCCTCATCATCAGCATCTTCAGCATCATAATCATTATTACAATCAGTATCATCAGTACCATCATTATCACCATCATCGTCATCGTCATCATCACCACCATCATCATTGTCATGATTACTATCACCAACATCATCATCACAACCATCCTCATCCTCTTCCTCATCATCCTCGTCATTCTCACAAACATCATCCTCATCGACATCATCATCAACATCATCGTCATCATCATCATCATCATCATCATCATTGTTATTATTATTATTATTATTATTACCAGCATCATCACAATCGCCACCATCATCATCACCATCATCACAATTATCACCATCATGCTTATTATCATCAGAATCATCAGCATCACCACTAGCATCATCATCACCATCATCACCCTCACAATCATCATCAGCACCACTATCATAATCACCAACATCATCATCATGACCATTATCATCAGCGTTATCATCATCGTCACAAGCATCACCATCACAATCACCATCGCCATCGTCATTATAACCATCATCATCATCGTCGTCATCGTCATCGTCACCGTCAGTGTCCTCATCATCATCATTACCATCATCATCATAATCATCATCATCATCATCACCAGCAAGTGTAATCAGCATCAGCATCACCATGAACATCAACATCACTACCAACAATCATCATCCTTCCCATCATCACCACCACCACCACCGTTATCATCATCACCATCAACATCAGCATCATCACCATCACGGTCATCACCATCACCATCATCAACACCAGCATCATTTCCACAATCATCACCACCCCCATGACCATCCACAATCAACATCATCAGCGTCAGCGTGACCATCACCACCGCCATTACGGTCACCATTACCATCACCATCACCATCATGATTACCATCACCCACCATCATCACCATCATCATCATCATCAACACCATCATCATCATCACCACCACCATTGTCATAACGATGATCATCATCATCGCCATCATCATCATCATCAGCATCGCAATCATCATCATCATCACCATCATCATCATCTGTATCATCAACATCACCATTATCATCACCATCATCATCACCATCATCAACACCATCATCATCACCACCACCACCATCATCACCGTCACCACCAGCACCGTTATCATCATCATCACCATCACCATCATTCTTGCAACCTTCATCACCGCCACCATTATTACCAATCATCACCATCATAATCATTATCATCATCGTCATCATCACCATCATCATCATCATCACCATCACCATCACCGTCACCGTCACCATCATCATCATCATCAACATCATCATCATAATCATCATCATCATCATCATCATCATCATCATCATCATCATCACCATCAGCACCACCATCATCATCACCAGCATCAGCATCAGCATCATCAGCGTCAGCAGCAGCACCAACATCATCACCATCACCATCATCGTCCTCCGAGCGGGCGTTGATCGGGCCCCGCTGGGCGCCCGGCTCACGGCCCCGCGCGGGCGCCACGCGGACCCCCCGCCCCGTGCCGGAGCGCGCCAGGCCGCGACGAGGAGCGCGGCCGCGGCGAGGCCCGCCGCGAGCGCGGCGCGGCGGCCGCGCGGCCTCCCGGCGCCCGCGGCCGCGGGGCCGAGGAGCCCGCTGTCCTGCGGGTGCGGGGCTTCGGCTCGCGGGCGCAGGGCTTCGGCAGTGGGCGTGGCAAGAGGTGGCGTGCGATGTGGCGCCCGCCGCCCTGGCAGGGGGAGGGCGTGCACCGCCGAGGCCCTCGCAGGGGGGACGGCGTGCGCAGAAGGGCCTTCCCCCGCGGGGGGAACGCCTCCAAGGTTGAGTCGGGCAAGTCCCCCACTATGGGTGGACTTTGGGCGAAAAAGCAGAAATATTCCAAACATACAATAA